CACATCTCACAGACCACCAGCTCCCTCGGGAAGGAAGTGCTGCTGTTTTGCTCATGGCCGGAGGAACCCAAGGCCGGTGGCTGGAGCGGTGGCAGGGCCGGTTTCGCATCCTCCATGAGTCACAGAGGGGCCATGCCTCCATCAGGTGCAACATAAATCCAGGCCAGTGCCTGCTCCTTTTCATTAAGAGCCTTGAGCTCACTGCAGAAAAGATGAAAAGGGCTGGTCATTATCCATTACATGTGACCCATTCACTTGCTGATGGGCTGGTTTTCATCTCCCTGCCCTGCCTGCAGGCAAGTGTCCCCCCATACTCTAATCTGCTTTTTTTTTTTATTCTCCACCATTTTCCTGGGGGCCTCCTCAATGATGGCTCCGTTCCTTCCCCATGCCTCCCAGCGCTGCAGATGCAGAAGCATTAAAAGGTTCCAGCTCGCCCTAACAAATTCCAGAAAGTCTGACCGCTTATTATGAAGCCAGCATAAGAAGGATTTGAGAAAAGCACGACATAATGAGAGAGCCGGAGAGATGCGGAGCACGGCCGCATCCTGGAAACATGCAGAGGTGAACGGGAAGGGGAGGTGGGGAGCGTTCGGAAGCCCATTAAATGAGGGCTTATCATACGATTTATGTAAATCACTTCAAATGCCTTCATTTATTAAAAGTATTAAGCTGCATTACTGTTTGCCTTTGGTCTCCTAATTTGGTTGCTAACGTCTAAGACAACTGTTGAAATTAATTTGAAATTAATGTTCCTATGTAATTACTTAATGAGTCTCACATTCACTGCCCTTAGCTCTCAGTTGACAAAGGATCTCACCCACCGCATGTAAGAGGTTGGAATACTGACTGTGATTTTAAAACGGTTGCTAAATTATAGTTTGCAAATATTTTACATTTATATCACACACTTCATCTTGAAGGATCTCGGTGTGTTTGAAATGTTACATAACATTCATTCTTTAGTAAAATTCCGTCACAAAAACTTTCTGGGCATCAATCTTCTTACTTCCCCACATGCCTTGGAATTAAATCAAATTTAGCTGTATTATTATGCAAACACAAAATCATACCTGCATTAAAAGATTATTACTGGGGCTGTGAAGTCAGACACTTAAAAGATAGGAAATGCTGGAACTGTAACTCTGTGCAATATAAATTCCTTTTTCTGTGCATATGTATTTGCATAGTCTTTAATTTTATGATCATGTATTTTCCTATACTCACCCCCTCCCCCGGGGGACTTATTAGTCCTTGTTAGTGTTCAAGAAAAAAAACAAAAAGCAGGGTAAGAAAAAACAAGGTTCGAGAAAAAGCTAGCAGGGGAAAGCAGCGACTTGTGGAGTCCTTGCCTCATTCCTTACAAAAGCTGCAAAGGTTGTAATGCGTGTTCCTCCTTTTCTGGGTGGCTGACTTGATACCCCATAAATCCTGATCGGCAGAAACGCTGAATATGCACAGCAGCCACTGAAGCTAAAGAAACATTTGGACGTGCAGAGCATTTTACATACTACCGAATCCAGCGAAACGTGAGGTCCTGGGGTCTCACACCAAGCGCTTAAAATTAACGTACACTTCCAAGAGGGGAAAACACTCCTCTGTCTCCCAGGGATGGGGGAAAATGTATCAGAGTGTTTGCAAAGCACACAGACTGCTGCGGTACGGAGACCCAAACTTACTCCTGTACAGCACGGCACGGACGCAGCACAGTAAGCGGGGAACAGGACACGCTGTGACCCAGGAGCGGAAAGCACCTGGGAAGCTGTTCCCGCTGCTGGGCAATCGAGGGGAAGGAGGGAGGAGGGGAGGGAGGGAGGAAAGCAGGGACCCGATGGGAAGACAGGAAAGGCTTTTCTGAGACAAAAGAGCTGAACTGGAGGCTTTCCAGACAGCCCGAATTCTGCCTGCTCGCCATTTTGTGTGCTCATCTGCGACTTTGCATTTCTTCTGACACCTGTATAGTTTCTTAGGAGGTCATGGTAAAGTGAGGGAACCAAACTCATTAGCAAGAACGGACCCCTCAGCGCTTTCCCCCCAAGTTAGCTGCTTTGGGACACCCTCAGCGTCTAGGCCAGAGCAAGTCAGCATCCCCCACGCTGCAAAAAGCCGCCTCTATCTTCACGTAGTGGAGAGCTGTAGACAGATGCCACGTGGCTCAGACTAAGGACACTCCACCACTGTGTCCAAGAGTCTCGCGGCTTGGTTGAGGGACAGGCTGGTGAGGTTAGGTCCCCAAACAAAGGGCAATGTCAACCTCTTTGGGACCTGAATCTCCTTCCCAAACATGGAACGGAGACTACCCAGCAGCCCGTACCCAGATGATTAACCACTCCCCATCCCCACCACACACACATTGTCCTACTTTCTTAACTAAAAAGCCCAAGCTCTCCTGCGCTCAGATCTTTGCTGAACCTCCCTCTCTCCACCACCTTCCTACTCTTGCCAGGTTGCAGATCCTCCTTCTCAAATCCCTGTCTTCTCTCCCTCACACCCCCAGAGCATTCCCATCTCCCACACTTCATGCATTCCTCAGCTAACAGGGATCACTGGAACACCTCCAAGAAAGACCTCCAAAGAAAACCTGTCCTAGCACTTGCAACCTAAAAAACTCAAGCAGCCAAGCACATGAGATTATTTCCTTTTACAGTTGTGGAACAGGTAAATTAGGGTGAATTGCTATGGTGATATCCTGGACAGCCATCTCAATGTCCCCTTAGACCACTACAGCTGTCAAAGGTGGAAAAAAAATAGGCAAAGTCATCTAGCTTCAGCCTCAAAAACAGCTGGGTTTGAAAATTTTTGGAAAGAAATACAACGGCCAATCTGAAGTAGAAAGGTTCCCAAGTCGTCTTCATACTAGAAAGCTTAAAATAAAAGGAACCGTATGACTACACAGTAAACTTGAGGGGGAAAAAACTAAGAACAGAGTGGTAATTATACAGGCCATCAGCTTCCGTGAAGTGCTTGATTTTGCAATAAGCTACATTCTTGTACCTCTTTGCACATGACTTCTTGTTTACTCCTTTGCAACAAATTCTCTTACGCAGACAGCATTACACAGACCGTATCATCAAACCAACCATCACAGCAGCTTGCTTTCCCTCTTTTTTTTCTCCCAGCTGGGGGTTTCAGGTCACACGCTAGCAGCTGACGGTTGTCACTGTACACATGCAGAGCCACCAGACTACCTCAGCCCAGGCCTCCCGTCTGACCCTGCTTTTGTGAAGAAAGCAGAAAAAGATACCAACACTAGACAACAGTGGCTCAGCAAAAACTACAATTACTCGAGGCAAAGATGCTTTTCTGCTTCCATGGCTTCCTCCTGCTGCTAGCAGTTGATGTGACAGGGCTGCTTTAGCCAGGTTTCCAGCATGATGTAATGGAAAGCAGCTGTCCCTATCCAAAGATTGCTCCAGACATCTCTGTAATTCTTCTGTCATCTTCTTTCGGTCAGTCTCATTACTCAACTTCCCAATAATGATGTGTCACTAACACCAGCAACCCCAGAACTGTACCAAACACGGTTTTTTTTTCTTAAACTCCCAACAAGAACTCGAGAATGTTTGCATTGCTATTGGCCACTCCCTACACAGACTTTTTACTTGTTCCTTGTCAAAATGTGAACTCCAGGACTTTGTATTCTACTGAATTGGGCTGTACGAGCCACATATTTCAACGGGAACAAGACACTTGGGCATAGGGCCCATCTATGTGCAAGAGTCTCCCTTTCTTTTCCCAAGCAGTACAGAACTGCACAAACCGAATGCATCCAACACCATCCGAAACATTTAGTTTGGCAAAACTGTTCAGATGGCAATGGGAGGCCTCAGTCTTTACAGAGCTATCTTCAGAAAGCAGTAAGGGTCACAGCGAATCTTGCCTCCACCATAAATATAGCACCACCTAAATAACTTGCGCAAGGGGAAGCTACCCAGCATTTTGCATTAATAAATGCAATTATAATGTTAGATACTCAGTTATTTAGTTAAGAAGGTTAAAGCATTTAACACCATTACTGTATGTCCATCAACTAATACCTTTATTCTGAAAGCTCACTTTAAATAACGATTACGTCTGTGCTTCTCTACAGTGAACTGCCAAAAAAGCAAGCAGCTAATTCAAATTCCAGGAGTACATAGCTATATTTGCCCCTTTATTAAAGAAAAAAGGTATTTTTTTAATTTGCAATCATGGCCTACACTTCCAGGATTGCCTTATCGGCCTACGTCTTTGTGTACACCAGCTTCAACAGCTCCTTTGGGGAGGATTCATGGAATTGGTAATAGGTTCTGTAATTTCCACCTTCTGTTTTCTAGTTCAGAGAGTAATCGAATCCAGTCACTACTGCTGTATCTATCTGGTAACTATTTGTTGGCCTCCATGAAATGAGTTGGAAGTTTGATTTCCGTTCTCAGCAGGCATGTTTGTGTGATACAGATGAACTGCTGTAACTGGCAAATTGGAGGCAATTTCAGCAGAGATTCCTAGGCTTAAATAAGCATGAGAACAGAGCTTGTCTCACCTCCAGAAAGGACTCTTCTTTAACAGGGTGGAGAAATGACAGGACAAGATTGGAGGGTTTGGATTTCTGCTGTTCTAAGATGCACTTTAAAGTGAGTTTTATCTTTCAAGTCTATCAAACTGGCACCTCCATGAAATTACTAAAAAAATAAAACAAGTCATTATGAAAGGAAGTCTTGAGGCAAAATAAGCTTTATCACTCCCCAAAACTACTTTCTACCTCTGCTGCATTTTAATCGGAATACATGAGTATTTTATTTCTTTTTGACATCTCCACATCCCCTGTGACAGAAATGTTTACTATTCGTCATTCTGTTAGTGCTTATTTGGTTCCCCATGATGGGAGCTGGTGCAATATCATCAGCCACTGAAAGATCATTAGTAGCATTCTAGGTAAGTCCATGAATTCTGTAGCACAAGGCATTTCCGAACCAAAATACAAGTTACCAGGTGAGTAGAGGCTGAACATGTGACTAGGCTAAGATTAAAAACTTTATTTTTTATACAAAACAATAATAAATCCAAGCAGATAATGAACTAAGTGTCTTCTCATTTTCCACCTTTTCTTCTTTTCTCAATACAGTCTATCCACAGTTCAATGTTAAACCATTCCATATTCAGCAAAAACTATGAGGTTTCCATCTTGTATCCATGTTTTTCTAATTCAGCTCTGTATAGAAAAAAGATAGGTATATTAAAACATACAAATAAAATACTGTCAGACATTTGAATTTTTAAAAAGTAAATATACTACTCAATATACAATCATTTTAGAACATGAACATGTCATACTCCTTTTTGGTTCATACCAATAACCTTAACCTCACTTACTCTATAGTTCTTCAACTTGACCTTAGTATCTCAGATCACTAGAAGTGACTTCTCAGTGAAAAATTCAAACACTTCTTTCAATCAGTTATCATACTCTGACCCACCATGGCTGGAGTACAACTCTATAGCGCGAAGCAGCACCTGTGAGCCTGCAACAGCTCCAGACATGTTAGAAAAAACAAAATATTCAAGGTTTTCTTAAACCACACCAGCTCACTAATCTGAGTGATTTAAATGCATGTACTTCCAAAATAATTTTAGCTTTTCGTTTGTTTTAAACACAACTACCAGAGAGCACTATTTTTAAATCTTGGTGCAACACACCTTCCAGTAAACAATTCTGAGGGAAAAGGATTGCTTTGTTAGGATCGTTAGTTGTGGCCAGGAAAGCAAGTCAGCAACCACAAATGTTATCACCCCTGCCCTGCTCCCTCTTTGCTTCTCACCTACCTCCAAACACACGTCCTGTTTTATCTCCTAATCTTAGCATGTGCGTATCTAGATACAGCAGTCTAAATCTCTAAAACTATTTCAGGTTAGTTTACATACTTAGTAGTGGCATTTTAGAAGTGGAGGACTGCAGCATTTTCTTTCTAAAGATGAAATAACAACATGTTGCAACAAAGCAACACTGCAAACTATCATTTTAACGCTAGTATACAGTCGCCAATACTACAGGCTACAATTAACGCAGTTATTGAAGGTTTGTCAAGACCAACTGCGTTTATCAAGAATTACGCTACCCCTTGAAAGTCTGTTTCACTACATACCAACTTGTTTTCCAATATTACAGTTTAACTGTCTTTCAACTTTATAAGAAACAGCCACGCCAAAGACTATTTTTGTATCTTCTACATAAAGGATCACTTTGACCAGAGCACACCAAGGGGGATGAACACAGGAACTGTTTAATCAGCCTGTAGTACACACGGTTTGCTCCTCGTGCAACATGCTAGCAGATTAATTATAAAATGCGAGTTTGTATGGATGCTTGAAACAATTTAAATTATAATTATGTGTCACTAAAGGATTAACTGAAACTACAAGTGACAAAGAGGATTAAACAACTGGATTAGAGGTATCCAAATTGCTATCACTTTTTTTAAAGCATGCTATGAACAATTACTTTGCTATTGTTGCTCATAAATGGCATGCTTATCACACACAAGAAGGGAACCTTAACATTAATATTGATAACTGATCTCTGGAAAATTTGTCCGTTTGGACAAAGAACAGCAATGCTATTTGAAGGTATAGAAAAAAAAATTTATAACAACTTATTTTGCATACCATGCAGCACAGAAAACAATCTTGGATTCTTTGCCATTAATCTTTGCAGTACAATTCAGAATTTTCACACATAAGTAGAAAAGTCCTTAGAAAAGGACTTAAATTGAAAAAGCGTCAACTGTATCACAATTTGTAGAGATCTTTGTACTAAGTTGCATAACATCACAAAACCCTGAACACGCCAATGACATTAGGCATATTTCAGGGATCACAGTACAATTATTAAAAGATGAAACGCTGATCAGTGCTTCAAACTGTGCCGTAATCCCTTAAATCTGGTTCTGAAAGGCTTTAGATAGAAAAGCATAAAGCAGAGCTTTCATTTACTTCAATTTCAGATCTCTATTGTCTAAAGTAAGCAGATTTCAAACTTCCAGATATTAACTAAACAATGCCATTTTAAATATTTTACCCAGTAACAGTAAGTTAAAAATAAAATTACCTTAACTGATTGGAGAAATCATCTTCGACATTGTCATCATCCCAGTTGTCTTCCCAGACATGCGCATCTTCATCTTCATCTAAACCAGTCCAATCTAAAGACAGGAAAAGAGGTCTAAATATTCTATTCTGCATTGCTTCGGTACCGTGTCTTATTGACAGATTAGCTCAGCCTCTGGGTAAGGTAGACTTCAGCTGGCAAGAAATTTCACTCTTAAACAGAAAAGTCTTGATCATGTTTAAGTGTTTATGAGATCAAAAAGCACAGAAAGATCTAAAAAACCCCACAATTTCTTGAATTATAATAAAAATACAACTTGGTAAAAAAAAAATCATTACCACTTCACATCATGCTTTGCAGAGTTACATATTCATAAGGGACATTTTGCATACAAATGGACAAGCCATAGCACCACTGTACAAAGAAAGCAGTATTGAGTACTTGACTCCTAAAAGCTCAACAGAAAGTGTGCAATTCCAGCTTTGTATTTAAATATTTTTTTCTCCTGATTAAAAGAAGTAAATACATATCAAATGTTTTTGCCAAAACACATACACACAGGTCCTTGGTTCACTCAGACCAGATGCTGACAGTCTATGGATAAAGGCCAAAAACATATCTGTGATGCAGAAGCAAAGGCAAATTAAAAGAGGCATCTGCAAACAGCAGTTGCTACCCATAACTAGCTACTTCTGGGTTCTCAAAACAGCAGAAGCTGTTTCCTTACAGAGCCGAGACACTAAATGTCCATTTGCTAACTTAATTACTATTTTTCTTATAATCTGGCATATCACCCTTGACAAATTACTCATCATCCACTTAATACTTCATTATTAAAATTATGATCAAGCTAGTTAGTTTAGAAAAATAGCAAAAAATGAAAAATCATGAAGGCTCAGAGTGTCTGTAAATACAAGTCAGTTCACTGGGGAACAGTTTCTCAGTTTTCTTTTACTGACAGACATGAAGTTTCTTCTAAGGTTACAAAAATAAGAAGCACCCCAATTTTGACACTTACGACCTTGTATTTCTCAAAGTCTGTTAGTATATTTAAAGAGATAACGCTAATCTTCCCCTTACAATTCAGTAAGCCATCTGCTGCCCTTCCCGACGAAGGCCTAAAGTAACATTAAACACTGACAAAGGTATAAAAAAAAAAAGCTAGTAGGGTAAAAGATTAAAAACTAACAATTCACTGTGAACAACTAACTTTGTAAGAATGAGGGTTAGTCCTTGCATTTTCTTCTCCTTTTTCTAACATTGACAGGCAACAAAATTAATATTTGAGATTCACCAAGACAAGAAAATCCATTTGTAACTAATGAAAGGCACATGTGTAGATGGCACTACAATTAAACTTCCCTACTCAAATAAATTATATAAAGGGAACAGAAGAAGGAGCATAGAAATCCTGCTCGTCCTAAGGACAGCAGAGGGAAGGATTTTTATTTTAGAACTATCCGCAATTAGCTCTGCCTATTTATATGCGATGCCTTTTTTTTTTTTTGGTCAAAATAAAAAAGCTGTACACCTCATCATTTATCTGGATTTCAAAGATACAAAAACCAAAGCTCAAAACAGCTTAAAATGAACACAAAGTCAAACTTTTCTATCTACTAACATACAAGTAGCTCAGACAGATCTACAAATTTGAAAAAAAAAAAAAATCCTAGTAACTATTATCCATCAGAACAAACAGCAGCTTCAATCATAAAAGGTCAGTTGGGGAGACACTGAAAACATGCTCCAAATCACACGGAGTGAAGCAGAGTCAAAAAGGCCCATGTCATCTTCCATATGGGGGGGTGGGGGCGGGGCAGTGTGAAAGTAAAGCCTAGATTATATTTTCATCGCTGTAGCTACTAGATTCTACAGTATTCTACAGATATCATACAGTATCTGTATGTTGACACTATACCCCAGAACTGCATACTAAAATTATTATTCCCAGATACATTAGATGTCTGTGACTAAATAAAAGCAAAAAATTATAGAGCATTATCTGGCATTGAAAATATTAAGAGCATTTGAGAGCCTGATTGCCATATTTTGCACTTGGGAAACAGTTTTTGGTTTCCTTCGAGTTTCCTGTTTGAGTAGAGGATAAAAAACCTAAATTCCTATCATTTTACACATTACATTTTATATTCTGAAAAGCACTGTACAAAAAATTCTTAAGTGACCAATTCACATACACTTGAATCTATCATGCTATACTTATGCTATACTTGAAACAGTGTCCTATAAAAATAGGACACATCTGCTTTTGATACATAAACTGGATTTGATAAACTGTTTGAAGAAAAACTTTAAGCCAGAATAAAAGAAATTCCCAAAAAGCCAGTGTTTTTATCCCTTAACATAAGCTTGCATTATCTAATTTCCTTTGGATAAAAAGTGGGTAATAGAACACAAAGTTTTTCTGCTGCATAGAAAGTGGCGTTTTAATTTGAAAGAACAACAATTCTGCATAGGTTTGAGCACACATTTATCACAATTCTTTCCTAAGCACTGAAGCTAACATTCAAAGTGGTTTGAACATTCTTTATAACCTCTCAACACTACTATCTCACTTGATAATAAAGGGCCTCTTTAGAGATTCTTATTTTTTGAAAGACAGATCAGCAAGAAGCCTGATTGTGGTCACTCTTTAATAATCTCTGTTCTACCCAGAAAGTTTGCACAGTACTCTGTTTTAGTAGTACAGCTAAATTCAAGTAGAATTAATTTCGTTTTCTGTAACAGCAATTCAGTGCTCTGACCAATCCAAGGTTCAGAAGCATGCTTCAAAGACTTCCTTCATCCCTACTGCCAATACTTAATTTACATTAAATAAGATAAACATTTTTTGCCTGATTAGGAAACACATACGGAAAAGAAGGGCTAGTCTTCTCAGTCTAGTTCAGCTATCATCTCAACTACATTAATAACTTTTTCCATCAATAAATGCAAAAATAGTACTTGTACTGAAGAATTCAGAACACCTAAGGCTTGTAAGGCCACAAAAAAAGAAAAATCACATATAATGAAGACATCATAGAAAAAACACCCTGACTTCTCACGTGTCATGTTTTCTATCATTTCTCGTTATCCACAACTTGAGACAATTCACAGAATTAAGGACATGGAGAAAACAATCATGCTTTAAGAGTGATCTTGTTACGACAGGATCTGTAAAAGGACACTAAGTTGTTTTATTGAAGTCCAGATTTAATTTCCTCATTTGATATATCTGTACCTATGAAAAGCAAACCAACACATAAACATTTGTGCTTCAAAAGGTAAAGAGATTCAGAATGACTGCAGAGTTATTTAATTTCACACTTTCTTCCACCTCGCACCCGGTTTCCAGCCCTCAGCCCTCCTCTCCACAGCGGTTCCCACCTCCCGAGCGGAGTGTAGCGAGTTTCTCCCCCACTGGTTTCCAGCTCCCTCCCGCAGTGACACAGCACTTCGGCTGCCACCTGCCCACCGCCGTGACCCCCACACCGCCGGGCACGGGCAGCACGTTCGTGCGTGATCCCGACTCTGACGGGGCTGTAGCCCCGCACCCCCGACCGGGGCGGCGGAGGGGAGCGGTGGGATGGGGGAGGCAGGAACCCGCGGGGCACCGGGAAGCTGCCCCATACGGGTATGGCTGAGACAGTGCAGCGGAGAGGCACGGCACCGCACCGCCCTGGAGACCCAGAGGGCTGCTCGGCGGGCACGGACCCGCTGACAAACCGCC